AGGTTCAATTCTCGGGGTCTACACAGATACTGTACATGGGTAGGGTGAGGTCTAGGGATCGAACCCTGGGTACTGCGTCCGCTACTGCTAAAAGGTGAAAACCGTTTCACTGGTGGTTAAAAAAAACATTATGGTAAAAAAAAAATCAGGAAAAAAAAAACACAAATTTATTTGGCACTCACTCTCGGGTTTGACAAAAAAATGTGTTTTCTATAAACAAATTAACGAAAAAACAACACTTTTTTTTTCGGGTTTGCCCTTACGTTCTCCTCTGAGAAGCATACTGCTTCTGGACGTATCTGACCGTAGTTCCGGCCATGTTCAGCCTCATAACAAGTGATTGTGTGACCTTACCCCTTCCTTCACCTGATCGAGATATTGTGTGACAATGTCTCGTTTCTTAAACACAAACACGACGAAGATGTCGGGACCGATAGCCAGGCTCGTCGGGTCTTCCTCTCATCCGCAGACTAGCCAGCTCGGATCTGGATCCCGACAGAAACCGCACAGGTACGGAATCCCAAAACAGACAGACAGACTCTCTGCATCTGATGTCGTCAATCAAGCACTCCCCTGCCCACCCTAACCCCCCTCCACTCCTCCTGCGCAAATTATTGGCACGACGCGGGGGGAATGGGGGGGGGGGAGGTTGGGGTTGGGTGGGGTGGGGTGGGGTGGGGTGGGGGATGCAGTCCAGTCCCCTGCTGTGGTGGAGTTGCGTAAGCTGTGGAAACAGCTGACATATGTAGCCACCTTCTCAAAAAAAAAAAAAAAAAAAAAAATCTGGTCAATGTGGTGTCGATTGGCTTCAATCAATCACCACCTCCTCACAGTTCCTCCTACTGTGGGGACTTCCATCTTTTTTTCTTTTTTCTTTTTTTTTTTTCTTTTTTTTTTCTTTTTTATTTATTTATTATTTTTCTTTTTTTTTTTCCCTTCTTTTATTTATTTATTATTTTTCCTCTTTTTTTCCTTTTTTTTTGGATCTATCACCACGTCCTCACATTTCCATCTACTGGGAGTTGGCTAACAGAGGAAAAGGCATGCAAAGCGGAGGAGAGACTACCTACCTGTACCTGTGACTGCAGATGGGTCCAGGTGGAGAAGATATGGAACATCTGTGGTGGGACTTTCCAAAGTCTGCTTCTTTTTTTTTTTTTTTTTTCCCTTGTTGGGGTGCCCGAAGAGTCCATAGTGTGGGAGAACACCTTTTTTATTTTTTGTGGCCCAAAGTGTCTGCTAAGTGGGGTAGTGGAGGTGGATTTACCGCTGGCAGAAGTCTTCAGCAAGACGAGATCTAATGGATCCAAAAAAAAAAAAAAAAAAGAAAAAAGAAAAGGGGTGGGAGGGAGGACTTCAGGGACTGTCCAAAGAGTGCTGCTTTTGATAATGTGATAAGGAGAGACGGGACCTCGCTCCACTACTCACCAAATGTGCAAAATGGGAATGAATCTTCCGCTAGAACATGGAAAGATGCACCGCCATATTTTTTGTTTTTTGTGTATTGTGGAGAGTAGTGGAGCAAGAGCCGCTACCTACCTGTTCTGGGAATCCTCCCCCCCCCCCAAGAAAAAAAAAACAAAAAAAAGTCTGGAAAGACTGTGAGGTCCATGGCCTCAACTCAATTT